GAGTTCGATTTCCTGTACCAAAAAAAAAATCAGTTCCCAGAGCTTTTAGTTAATTTTTTTGGCCAGTAGCAGCTGTCTGATCAGCATACATGCAGTACTTTTGTATGTATATAGACTTGTATGTAAGATGGTGGCAGTTCCTTATTGTGTTGCATAACAGTTCCTTAGAGTTGGGCTTGGTGGTGCACACCTGTAATCCGAGCACCAGGGAGGCTGAGGCAGGAGGATCACTGTGAGTTTAGTTTGAGACCAGCCTGGGCTACAAAATGAGTTCAAAGTCAGCTTGACCTGAATAGTGAGACCCTGTCTCGAAAAGACAAAAAACAAAAGAAAACAAAAAACTGTTCCTTAGAGCAGGATGTTATTACTAATAATTACACATGGGGGAGTTCCATACGGAAAATTGTAACCAATGAAATATTTAGTCCTCCTGGTTGTGGTTTTGGAACTGTTGTTGTTGCTGTACGGAGGCTTGAACAGAGCCTCCCACAGGCCAGGAGAGTTCTGTGTGTAGCCTGAGGTGCTGCATTGTGGAGTCATCAGGAATCTCCTTCAGCATGCACGCACGCACGCAGTGGAGGAGAGCAGGCCTTGGACCAGTGCGTCGCCAGGCTTGTGTGGCGAGAATTTTTTCATTTATGACTAACTTGTTACCCCAAGTTAGTATTCTTAAAGAACTGTTTCCCCTCCCTCCCCATCTGAAAGGCTGTGATGCAAGCCCTTGTCAAAGGGTCTTCCTGCCCCCCACGTCACTTTCTGAGTGTAGTTTCTCTCCTCTAGAGAGTGACTCTTGTACGTCACTGCATTTAGCCTCTTAGCTTTCCCTCTTGCCCCAGAGGAAACCGTATTCTCTGTGTTTACCTGTCTCCCTCTCTCCTTGCTCCTAAAACCTTAGTTCTGGCCTGTATCTCATTAGAGTAGCATACCAGAAGTCTTCACACTGGTCCCTAAAGAATATTAACAGATTTGGACAGAAGAGAAAGAGGGATATTTTGGTGCACAGTGTAGCCTGAGGACTGGAGGCAGGAAAGCGTGGAAGTGTACTGATGTGTAGGCAAAGTGCAGGGTTTGTGAGATCCTCTCTTTGCCCTGGCTCCCATCCAACCTTTCAGCCTGTGCTTTGTGCTTTTCCTCCCCTTCTATCTAGCAAATGCTATCCTCTGACCACCCACAGTGATCCCCAGACTTCTGTAGCTCTGATTGTCAGTCCCATTCTCTTAGTAGCTGATTATACATATTGCCTTGATTTTGGAAGATAGCTTTGTGTGCATGTTTCACTTTTTCAGATGGAGCATGTTAGTCACGGTTTTAGGTCTGGGGAACACAGCCCCCTTACATAGCCCACGCAGCATTGGGGTTGTAAGGCCACCACACTCCTGAAGGAGCTGCAGCTGGAAACAGCACAGGCACTTGGGAACGCCATCCTCCCTCTATGGCTTGCATCGGTTTTCCTTGGCTCCTTTCTGTGCCTCTGCTTCATTTCAGGATTTTATTTTGATTTTTAAGAGTTGCATCACAATATAATTATCTTGATTACTGAGTTTTGGGGAGCCTTCTAAGCCTCGTGTCTGCCTCCATCCTGCCCGCCATGCCCCATCCTCTCTCCTCTCTCCCCTGCAGACCTGGGTTCCCTTCATGATATCTCACCTGAGTTTGTCCTCTGGCTTTCTAGACTCCCAGGGAAGAATTAGATTTTTCCATCCTGCCGGGCTTGGGATGACTGCAGTACCAACAGCTAGGAGAGAGGGTGTGGCTGGGTGCTTCCCTCACAAGGCTGGAGTAGGGGTGGTCCTAGATGACAGGCTGGGGCTTGGTTATCCTGCACCTGCTTGGTCTGGCCCCAGAGAGCAGGAAGAGGTGGCCATGTACCTTCTCTTTTCTGTGCCTGTGCTGCATCTAACGGATATGCAGCTAAGGCATGTGTGTCTTATTTGGTGTCTGTACTGCTATGACTGATTGACCATTTGACCATTAGCGTTAATGTTAGACACAGCAATATTTAAGACAAATTACTGAAATTTATTACATGTATTACTATTTGGAAATACTCAAAGTTTATAGTAAACTAGCTATTTTTTAAACATTGCTTTATGTAATAAAAGAATAAAAAAATTTTTACTTTTTTTGCTGTTCTCTTTCAAATAAAAAATTCATTGCTTTTTGAAATTGATTTCCCAATTCTGACAGAATAGAGGGGTAGTAGACCAATAATCAAATAAGTGCTAAGACATCAGCACTGAGGTTACCGTAAAAACCAGGAGAGCCATATCCAGAGCGTTGACCCCTCCCTTACTATTTATCATATATTTAGTATTTACCATGTTGTGGGCACTGTTTTTGGGACTGGTAATGTAAAAATATCTTCTCACTCTCAAAAGTGCTCATACTTCTTAAGGGAAAGGTATTTGCAGAAATGGTTGTGATGTGTTAAGTGTTGGTAGAAGATAGGTGATGACTCACGCCTCTCTTCTTTAATTTTCTTTGTGTCTGTCCATCCCTTTCATACTCTTCTCTTACCCAGTCTCTGTAGTTAACTGCTTACATTTTGTGGGTCAAAGAAATTTGCCTGATGTGAACTAAGAAAATAATACTTTTTTTTTTTTTGGTACCAGGAATCGAACTTAGGACTTTGCGTTTGCCAGGCAGGGTCTGTGCTGCTGAGCTATATCCCCAGCCCTATTCCTTAACAATGAACTTTCAAGATAATAATGGCTTTATTAGCTAATACTTTTTTTTGAGCACTAGTCTGTACCAGGCACTATTCTAAGTGGTTTATATATTAATTCATTTAATGAATTTAATATTTAATGAATTAATATATGAAATCCCATGAGGTATGGGTACTTTTATTATTCTTATTTAACAAATGGAAAATAGAGGGAGAAAAAAATTGTTCAGGCATCAGGCTTGGGGCACATACCTGTAATCCCTATACTTGGGAAGCTGAGGCAGAAATATTACAAATTTGAGTCCTGAGGGGCAAATTAGTGAAATACTGTCTCAGAATGAAAGAGGCTGGGATATAGCTCAGAGCAAAGGCCTGAGGTTCAGTATCTGCTAAAGTTTATAAAGACAGCAAACAACTGATTTTTTTTTTTTTTTTTTAAATCAGGGTCTTGCCACATTGCCCAGGCTGCCCTGAAACTCCTGGGCTCAGGTGACCCCCTCCCCTTCTTGAGCAGCTGAGCTTATACTGCTATGGGTAGTGATTCTTTTTTTTTTTTTTTTTTTGGCACTGGAAATTGAACTCAGGACCTTGCCCTTGCCAGGCAGGCGCTTATGCTGCTGGGCTATATCCCCAGTCCTGTTTTAAAGCTGTTTTAAATGTTACTTTTTTGCGAGATATCTTATACTAAAGCTTCTCTTGGTCATCTTAAACACAGTCCTCCATACCTAGTTGGGATGATTGGAGCAGAGAGAATTTAGAATTTATTTGCTGATTTTGTATTAACTGTACAAAATTTTGTTAACTGTACTGTGCTATGAGATTGCTGTGAGATTGCCTTCTGAGGTGGTTGCATTTTATAGGCTTTTGGTGACTATAACATTGTTCCACACCTTTTTTTTTTCTATTATGGTACTGAGGGTTGAACCTAGGGCTGCCTGTATGCTAGGCAAGCACTGTACCACAAAGCTGCATCTCTAGCTCCTCTTAAAATTTTTAAGAGACAAGAACTTACTAAATTGTCCAGGCAGGCCCTGAACTTGTGATCCTTCTGCGTCAGCCTCCCAAAGAACTGGGCCACTTTCATGTTCTAGTTACATTTTTGTTTTTCTTTCTCTTCTGCTTCCAGTTGTGGCTTTTTGCTGTCAGTTTCTTTCACTTAATTTGCTTCTGTTAATAGGTAGTATGTAGCAACAAAATTAAAAACATGGTAGAAATTAAATAGTTTTAGGATCAGTATGATACTGTTTTAAAAATAGGTGTTTTAAGTTCATATTCAGATCTTATCCACTGTTGAATATTCTTAGGGTGTTCTTATCCTCCCTGAGCCTATGTTTCTGTACCCATAACATGAGGACAGTAGTATTTTGCAGGGCTAGTATTATCAAATAACACGTAGTTATATATATATTATTAATATATATATAGTTAGTGCCAGGCAAATAACTATATACCCAGCATATAACAATTATGCAAATAAAAATTATTACCTTTTCTCTTTATTATATTGATCTCTTTGTTAATATGAAAGACTCAGGTAAATGAAAGAAATCTTGCCGGGCATGGTGGTGCGCGCCTGTAATCCCAGCACTCAGGAGGCTGAGGCAGGAGGATCATTGCAAGTTCGAGACCAGCCTGGGCTACAAAGTGACCTCAAGGGCAGCCTGAACTGTATAGTGAGACACTATTTCAAAAAGAGGAAGGAAGGAAGGAAGAAATCTTTTCTTATGATGTAATTAGGATATAATGCATTCTAAGTCTGTCATTTAAAAATAATAATTTACAGTTGTTGTCATGTGTTAATCTTAGAATTATCCTGAATTCTCATTTTACGTCCTTATGCTAAGCTCTCAGCAACCTTGCTCTTTCTCTGAATTAAATTAAGTTGCCCTTTGCTTCTGTGTGGTGCTCTTGGTTTTCCTCAATTGCTTTTAAAGGAAAAAATGTCCTTTGGCCTCTTTTTAAAGAATTTGTGTCAAAAACAGCCCTATACCCTGGGGACAGTGAGCTGGGTTTCTTGGCCAAAACAATGATTTCAACTTCCTTCTTTCATCAGTTCTGCTTTCTTCAGCTATCACCGGGCTTAAATATCAATTTGTTTTTCTTTGTACATCCACTCCCCGCAACTTTCTAGAAAATGTCCCCACCAACTGTGTGGCTCTCATTATCTCTGTCATTTTATACGGTTCTGTTTTTTACTTATATGTACATACAGATTATTTTCTAATCTTTAAATTCTTAATTCAAAGCACATTTTATTTAAGTTTAATTGATACTAGATATATTCTGAATTACATATATATGCAACAGTGATTTTTTGCAACGTTCCTTACAGACATTTGTTGTGCTGCAGACACACGGTGACTGCTGGTGACCCAGAGGCCTCCACGGAGAGACACATCAGTGGAACAGAGCAGTGGACACAGTGGTCTGCAGTGACTGGTGAGTTATCCAGGATCAGAGGGCAACTGTCCCGTAACCATCTTGGAAAGGGGCCACCTAAGCTCTGGATTTTTTATTTTTGACCTGTGATTTTATTCTTTTTTATCTTAAGTCTTATGGTCATGTAATTTGCAAATTTGTACTGATGATGTACCTTTTCCACTTTTATCCTTCTAATGAGTTGACAGAAAGCACCACTCCCAATCACACATAAAACAGTTATTTTACAGTTTTGTTTTAAATAGCCATTTAACAACTATCCTGAATTATAACTTAGTGTGACTTAGTAAAGAATTCCGAAGTAAAGTCTAATTAGGTATTGTATCATGCTTTTTTTGTTTTGTTTTGTTTTTTTGGTTTTTTTCCGGTACCGGGAAAGGAACTCACGACCTCGCGCTTGCCAGGCAGGCGCTGTGCCTCTGAGCTAAATCCCCAGCCCTTGTATTATGCTTGTAAAAGCATCTGAACTTACAGATCAACTATAAAATATAACAAATATTAAATATTCTGTGTTTGATATTATACAAATGCCACAGTAAAATGCCTTTCAGTAAGTACACTAAAAGACAGCATTTTAGATACAGGAATTCTAATTAAAGAGGCACAGTCAAGACCAAAAATATAGAGTAGACATTATTTATCTTCAGCCATTGCCTTTTAACAGGCTGATGAGCACAATTTGAAAAACAGGTGGGTCTTGCTTCTGAGGCAGTGAAGGATTTCCCCAGTGTTTAACTAGATTCATATAACTATGAATGTAAACCAGTCTGCAGTAGGTTCTGATGTGGTTTCCCCATCTCCAAATACTCCAGCTCAAGCTACCAAATTGCTTTTAAAAAAATTTATCAAGGCATGACTTATATATCATAAAATTCAGCCATCTTACAAATGTTTAATAATCCTAAATTGCCTTTCCTAGCAGAAACTCCTCTGTGCTGTCTTCAATGTGATGATAGAACAATGTCACACTCCTTTCCATTTTAGTTTCCCAATTGCTTGTCAGCATTGGTTACGTTTCTCTTGTTGCTGAGACAAAATACCTGACACTCAGAATTAAGGAAGGAAAGGTTTATTTTGCTCACAGTTTGTGGAGGTTTCAGTCCATACACAGCTATCTCCAAGGCAGAGTGGCACATGGCAGAGGGCAACAGTTCATGGTAGTGGAAAACAATAAGAGCAAAAAGGGAGGAGCAGCAAAAGCAAGCCTCTTTCCCTCTGTTATATTGTATGTAGGCTGCCCACCCTGGGGCAGATGTAGCACTCACACACATAATCCCAGCATTGGACCATGGATCAGTCACAAACTCTAGAAGCCCACCCCATGACTGCATGAGGCTTTAGGAGGACATCCAGATATAAACCGTAACATCCACTCCTGCCCTTGAAAGACTCGTGCATATCCCTTTATTAAAAGGCATTTAGTCCATCTGTAAGAGTTGCCAAAGTCCTGACAGTTGCAGCATTGCTGAAAAGTCCCAAGTCCCAAGTCCCCTCTAAGATATAAGGCAAACTCTTAGCTGTGGACCCCTGTACAAGTGAAAAGTTAAACACTTCCAACATGCAGTGGCACAAGATAAACATTACCATTCTAAAAGGTACAAACGGATATACAAAGGAATGGGACCAAAGCAAGTCCCAAATCCAGCAGGACAAACATTAAGTCCTGTAGTTCCATGTGCCGCATCCAAAGCAGTCTGTGGCAAGTTGTAGCTCCCATTGCTTCTCTCTTGGTCCCACTCCACTCCCTCTTTGCAGGTTTCCTCAGACAGTCCACATGGCTGGTTTCTCCAAACTTCTGGGGTCTCCATTGTACCTTTAGCTTCACCCTAACAGCTTCACATATTGCCCTCTCCAGGGACACACTGCCTGGCCTTCGAGGCCTTCTGAAATCTGGGTGGAAGTCTTCTTAACCTCAGAACTCTTGGATTCTGTATGCATCTAAAACCAGTGCTACATGGATGTGCCAAGGTCTGTCCTGCTGGCTGGTGTAGTAGCCAGCCTTTCTTCTCTCTTGGCTGTAGGGATTGCTGAGCACTTTGAACCTGATTCTGAGGAACAAAGTCTGTATGCCACTGCCATTGTGAAACCTGGTGAGGCTGCCACCATCTTGGAACATGGTGCTCATCAGCGTCCTCCTCAAAGCAGAGTGTTTCACTTTAGCAGTTTTGAGACTGCAAAGGGTAGAGACTTGCTGCCTCTTGTAATGCCCTCAGGCCATCTTTTATGTTCTTCCCATTCTTTCTGGGCAGTCAAGATCTCCTCAGCTCTATCTTTGCAGTCCATAGCTTTACTGGAGCTTCCCTGCTGGCCAACCTCACAACATTTTAAAACATTTTAAATCATTCTGGACCCTACTCTTGATTCTCAACATAAATCTGGCTAAAAGCCCCCAATGATAGCCATGCCAACCGCCTCAACATTTGACTGCCTTGAAATTTCTTCTGCCAGGTTAATTAGTCCATTGCCCTTAATCTTAGTCTCAGGCAGTTTCTAGACAAGAGCAAAATGCAGGAAAACTTTTTGCCAGGCCATAATATACATCCTCTGGAGTCCAGCATCCAATGCAGTCCTTCCCAACAGAAACCTCCCAAGCCCAATCTTTACTGTCAGGATTTCTGTCGGCCTTCTGAGCTCTGACCAGAGTCTCCCATACAGAACAGCCCAATGTGTTCCAGCTCTACTCTTTCAGGTGACAGCTCCAAACCTTTCCCAGCTCTTCCCACAAACCATTCCCAAAAGCTGTTGAACCACATGGTCAGGTACAGTCACAGCAATGACCCCACTCCTTTGGTACCAAATTCTGTGTAGGTTACCCAACACCCAGAATTAAGGAAGGAAAGGTTTATTTTGCTCACAGTTTGTGGAGGTTTCAGTTCATACTTGGCTGACCCCAAGGCAGAGTGGCACATGGTAGAGGGAAACAGTTCATGGTGGTGGAAAACAGCAAAAGCAACAGTAAAAAGAGCTGCAGAAGCAAGCCTCTTTCTCTCCCTTATATTGTATGCAGGCTATCCTCCCCAGGGCAGGTGTAGCACTCACACCCATAATCCTAGCATTGGACCACGAATCAGTCACAAACTGTAGTAGGATTGCTATGAGTTTGAGGGCTACAAAGTGAGCTACAAAGTGAGTTCAAGGCCAGCCTGAACTGCATAGTGACACCCTATCTCAAAAAGTTAAAAAAAGTCACAAACTCTAGAATCCTGCACCCATGACTGCATGAGGCTTTGGGGAGGCATCTAGGCACAAACCGTAACACTTGTGCTGGGTTGTGTGATGTTGCTCCTGGCTCTGTGAGGCCACTTACAGGAGCTCCTGTGTTGTGTATGGTCTCAGGTACGTGTTCTAGATGTCCTGGTTCCTCATCAAGCACTCAGGCCTCTGTAACTGGGACCCAGGGTCACTGCAGTGGGCAGTGCTTTTTTCTTAAATAATTGACTTTCACCCTATTCCTGACAGAGAGCTCCACTGTTCTTTCTTAGGTAATGACTCTATTTTTATCCCACCTGACGAAAATTACACTTTAGTACCAAGGCTTACCAGACCTCTCGGAATGATACTAAGTTCCTTGCCTCCCCTACAAGATATCAAGATACTTACCCACATTGTAGGCTTGTGCCTCATCAAGCGCGTGTTCTATTTCCTATTAATCTAAAAATTAATAACAGAGCTTGATGGGCCCCAGGCCTCTATGATTGATTAGAATTTCCCTGAACATTATAGCACACTGTGTCCCTGTACACAGGCCCTTACCATGTAGAAGTGAGGCACTTCTCTGGAGCACACGTTAGTACCAGCTGGGCACCAGTCGCAGGGTCAGTGGCAGAGCGAGGCTGAAGGGTGCGCCCTAAGTGTGTGGACCTTCTGAGAAGAGAGGTGGGGTGGCCAAGAAGGCTCGGGAGGGGAAAGCCCGGAGCGGTCTGTACACTGCAGTCGGGTGCAGGGAGAAGTGCCCTGTGGGTTGTTCAGATGTGCATGTGCGCTGTGCTCAGGGAAGCGGAGGGGCAGACAGGTGACTTGAATTTGGGGTGCCTGCGAGGCCCCTAGGAGATTGCCTGATGAAAGCAGCAGATGCTGGAGGTTCTTAGTGCAAGTGGCAAAACCTGGAAACACGTAACAAGAACCTCCTCTGGGGAGAGGGAATAGTAAAAGCAGCACCTAGGTGGCTGCAGCAGGCAAGCAGGCAAGCAGGCGGGGAGCCTGGGAGAGAGGACTTGGGAAAGCAGTCCTGGAGCCCTTCCTATTAGGGACAGGCTCCAGAGACACAAGACTTTGAAGACTTGTTTCTCCTGATATTTCCTTAGGGTAAAGGTGGTGAGTTTCAAAAACACAAAGAAATTGGCCTCAATCCCAGTTTCAGTTTCTGTTAAATAGGATCTTAGGTCAGAAACTGGGATTTGGGAGAATATATAATTATATTCTCAGGCCTTCCCAGGCATAGTGGCACTCACCTCTAATCCCAGCTGCTCAGAAGGCTGAGGCAGGCAAATTCTAGGCCAGCCTGGGCAATTTAGCAAAAACCCTTTCTCAAAAATAAGTGAATATATAATTAAATCTTTTTTTCGTTAACTTTTTGAGACAGGGTCTTGCCATGCAGTTCAGGCTGGCCTTCAGCACACTTTGTAACCCATGCTTGTTTCCAACTTGCAACAATCCTCCTGCCTCAGCCTCCTGAGTGCTGGGATTATAGGCATGCACCACCACGCCTGGCTATAATTATATCTTTAAATTATTTTTTATTTTGATTTTACATTGTTTTATAATTAATGTTTAGGCCTTTTTTTTTTTTTGGTCCTGTTAGGAGTAGAACCCAGGGCTTTGAATATGCTAGGCTGATGCTCTACACTTGAGCTACATTCTCAGCCCCTGAAATTTTTTTTTTATTTTAAAAATCAAAAAAACTAACAACAATAAAGACAAAATTAAAACCAAAAAAAAAAAATAACAAAAACCATACATGACATCAAAATAAAATGATAGGAATTAACAGTGGTTGCTAC